GGGTGGATTACGGTGAGGTGAACATTCATCGGGAGAACTTCTTCATGTGTGTCTTGGATGTGGAACTACATGTGATTGATATTTTAACATACGAAATTAATAGATTTTGTGTGAAACTTGTTACTTTGTTTAACAAATGTTATACATTTCCTGTGTGATTCACCCACTGAGAGTGGGCTCAAAGAGCGAATTCGCTCACTGAATAAAAAAAAAATAACCACAATATGTTGTGGGCGTTTTCAAAATACTGCAACCAGAAAGCGAAATTTTGCGTCATGTGATTTTCCCAACAACCGTTACAACGCCTTTTAAACGGCTTGAAAATTTATCTAACCTAACTTTACCTAACCAAACCTAATCATACCTAATCTAATCCAACCAAACCTAACCTAACCAAATCTTATCTAACCTAACCAAACCTTATCTAACCTAACCAAACCTTATCTAACCTAACCAAACCTTATCTAACCTAACCAAACCTTATCTAACCTAAACTAATCCAACCAAACCCAATCAACCTAACCCAACTCAAACTAACCTAAACAAACCTAATCTAATCCAGCTCAGACTACCGTATATAAATTTTTTTATATTCTCATATCACAGTTTTTTTTATTGCTTTACATGCCTCCAATTCTTTAATATTAATACAAAATATTCTCCATAAGCGGCCGTGATCCGTGTATTTTCAGTGGGAGAAACCGCTGATTGGTTGTTAGCCATTCGGGCGCTGCACAAGGCTAAGGAGTTTGCTTTTCCCTCTGGAGGTGTCATGCGCACAACTCAGCATAAGCGTCTGCACAGACAGAATAACTAAGCGTTAGCTAGTCCGTTCATCTAAAACGCCTTACAATAAACGGCCTAAGTCTATACTGTGTTATATGAAAAAAATAGTTGTAATTTTTAAGATTTAAATCTAAAAAAGGGCATTTTGTGAAAATTAAAACATTAAATTTCATTAGACAACTCTTGAAAACAAATATAAATACAAAAAATTTATGTCATCGCTTGAGAACATGTTTAAAAAGGCAAAGGTAACATATAGTAGGTAGTAGGCAGCTACCAAACAGGGAGGTACTACAACCTGGGAAGATATTGGAAGCATAATGTGTTGTCTAATGGTAGACCCTGCTGCCATATGGCATCACAAAAAATTGTGACCAAGTCCCAGGTTGCTGATCTGTCTTTCTGCCTCATTTACACACAATTGCAGGGTCTCAATTGTTTATCTTACTATTGACAACACAACATACAAACTGTCATTTCTCAATATTGATTGATTTTTTTAATTTTTTCATTATTATTATTATTATTATTATTATTATTATTATTATTATTATACTTTTTATTTATTTTATTAATTATTAGTAATATTATTAGTATTATTATATTTCGCCCTCCAGGCCCTGATGTGGGTCAGTGACCTGTGCCTGGGTGGGCTATTCCCCGTAAAACAAAACATGGCGAGGTTTCAATATGACAAGACTTCATGAACAACAACAACAAAGTGTTCTTGCGATACTACTGGAAATCAAGAACTCAAAATCACGAGGAAAATAAATGAGAATAATGATATTTAGTATCTATGTAGAAATATAGCCATTCGACAACTGTATAGTGGGCCGAGACCCCGATAGTGGACGTGGACTATCACTTAGTCAATGGAGCAGGAGCCATGATCCATCCCATGGTTTGGGTGTTATTTGTCGGGCTACGGCAAAGGGTTTAATTTTTATATAATTCTTCCAGTGATTCTTGTAAGAACTGCAAAATATTATCTGTTCAAGGGCAGAATCAATGCTAAAGATAGTTAATTTAGTTAAAAATAGTAAATTGCTTGTTAAATCTTTGCTGGGGGATAGACAAAATTGAAACATTTTTAAAAATCAATTAAACCAGAAACAAAATGACTTCATTTAAATAGGCAAAGCAAAACTCATGTGTACACTTATCGTCGCAAATGCAATTAGTGACGAGCGAGGAATAGTTTTACCACACATGGAGGCTACTCAGATCTCATCTTTCTTGTAAATCTCTGTTGATTATTATCAAATGACTAAAAGCATTGTAAAGTCAAATTCGCTGTGTTACAGTTTACAACCTTATGTTATACTTCCCGAGAAAAAAAAATATGCAGTGATCTTTTGGTATCGACTATGTTAGTACTGTGTAACAAAAAAAACACGAAAAGAATTCTCAAGTACTAGTCACAAATGAAGAACATTAAAGATGATTATACCAATCTGTGCTACTATACTGTAGTATGTGGTCTACCTAGCTGGATGCGGTCTACCAGGATATTTACACTGTAGCGTTTAACCTATAACTTAATCTAATATATCTTAATTTAACCTAGGTGGTTAAGTTAGTTTAATGGATACTACAGTGTAAATATCCCGGTAGACTCAACTCCAGCTCGGTAGACCGCGTACTAAATTAGCACCTACTTATCTTAGTGTACCTAATTCGTTACCCGTCTAAATTAACAAGAAAGTGATGCGGTTAATATAGAATATCGATTTAAGTTGTTAATTAGCAGATGAAGGTTCGCAACCCCAAAGAGGGACTAACATATTAAAAAAAAAACATACTTAGGTGTTAAATTAAGTAGCAATACAAAAACAACGTAGAAAAAGAAAACAGACCCTTGGATAACATCTCATTAAGCATAAGGAAAACATCTGAATATTTTGCATGAATAAATGCTTAACCACGCGCCAAGCACTAAAAAAACTGGCTCCTGCTGGCGTTTAACTGTTGTTTAGCTTGTCTGGTAACCGGCTCGGGGTAGCACCAGTACGCAGGAGTGAAGCGTACTGTACTTACCCACTCTGCTGGGTTTTTCTCATGTCACTAAACTGAGTCTGCTGCGCAAATCATTGAACGGAATTTATTCATTGCAATAAAGGCTCTTGCAAACTACTTATATATATATATATATATATATATATATATATGATCGCTCAGATCTCTGTGTAGTCAGATGTGACAAGAATAACTGCTTAGAAATGAAATATATGTTATATATATATATATATATATATATATATATATATATATATATATATATATATATATATATATATATATAAATATATGATCGCCCAGATCTCTGTAGTCAGATGTGACAAGAATAACTGCTTAGAAAATGAGAAATATTACGTGCTAGCCCAGACGCTCATGCAACGCCTCCAAGGAGGTAGTGGCAGTGTCTGGCATATGCTCAACACTTGGTTAATGAGACGCCTATGAAGACATGGAAATATACCGTATTCTATAGAATTTTATATACCTCTTAGTTACCTTATGGATATAATCAGTGGGAGGCTTACTTTACCCAGAATAAAGATATAATCACTTCGTCTCATTCTAAAATTTAGAATCTAAACTGACTCACCTTCGGGGTTATTATTCTATCGCATTAGTGCTGTCTCGCACACAAATTTACCAGTACAGCTTCCGGGCAAGTCTTTAATGTTGAATGAATGTAAATGCTATAATTTCTGCAAAAATTTCTCCCAATGTTTGTGAAGTAAATATTTTATGAAAACAAAGTGATGTGCATAACTCTTGAACTGAAAATTCTCCAACTGTTATCTTGTTCCGTCTTGTGCTTCCGTAACTCTGGAGGAGCGAAACTTTTGTACACTTCTGATTGACGTTAGTTAACTTGGGAACTATAATGTTTCAATGGGTAATTTTCAAATCAGTCCACTTTTTAGGTTATTTTACTGCTAATCACCCTAAAGTGTTTTCCCGGGTCTCGTGGTTTACGCAAGACTGACCATAAAGATACAAATTTACTCGGTAAAATTGCCATACACATTCTCATAGACAGCGCAGGTGTACAATGTCCATAGTGCAGGTATGCAAACAATACACAAACAGTTCAGCATACAAACAATACACATAGTACAGTGCAGATATACAAACAGTGGTAAACATAAAATAGGTTTGTCCAAGAATAGTCCAATAAATCCACCATATGCTTATTTTTGGTCAGTGATACTTCCTTGTTATTTTTCCATATATATATATATATATATATATATATATATATATATATATATATATATATATATATATATATATATATATATATATATATATATATATATATATATATATATATATATATATATATACAAGCAAATCACTGTAGTTGCGCATGATCCAGGTATATGCTGATAACCGCAAGGAAAGAAGAAAACACGAAGTTCCCAAGCACTTTCGTGTAATTCACATCTTCAGGGGTGAGTACACTAGTACAGTCTGTTTGTACTCGCCCCTGAAGATGTGAATTACACGAAAGCGCTTGGGAACTATGTGTTTTCTTCTTTCCTTGTGGTTATCAGCATATACAGTGGGGTATGCTATAGCGAATCTAATTGGTTCTAGAACCTTGTTCGTTATAGCATTCGTTCGTTATAGGATTAATCCGTTCCAGGCCCCCCAAATACAACCACTTAACACTGAAAAATATAATATAAAATTGTAAAAATTTTAAAAAAGTGCATAAATATGCATCTAAACCCCTGAAATAAAGAATATCGTTAATACTTGTAGTACAGAAACAATAAATTAGTAAAAAAGAAAAAACAATTTTTTTTAATAATGTTCGTTGTAGGAGTTTCGTTCGTTATAGCATTCTCAATTTTATAGGTAAAACCGTTTGTTATAGGAATATTCGTAGTAGGATCCGTTCGTTATAGCATACCCCACTGTATATATATATATATATATATATATATATATATATATATATATATATATATATATATATATATATATATATATATATATATATATATATATATATATATATACTGTATATATATACAGTATATATATATAATGTACAAACAGCCAGTGGCCGATTTTCTTTTCCTCGGCACCAATTCCACTACTGTATTATTATTATTATTTCCCCAATATTGACACCTACATGACCTGTCGTCCAAGTAGTGTAAATTTAATCAGTGTTTGTTGTTTCTCTGCAGGCAAGATGGTGACTGAAGGCAAAATGAACTGTAACTTGGTAATGGAAGACCTGCCTGAGGTGCTGCACCAGCGCCTCGGTCAGCTCAACCAACTCCGAAAGAGTCGGCACTTCTGTGATGTTGTCCTCCAAGTGAGTAATGAGCAGAGAAAGGGGTAGAGAGGAGTATAGGCCCGATACACACGTTCACTTTTAACTGAAATAATGTATCACATTTTGTGTTCACAACGGAGACCCCACACGAGAAAAGAAGGGTTTGGTCTGAAGCAGCAGCAACATGTATGTCCCCTGTGGTTGTTACCCATTGGTAGGTATCACTATCTACTCCAAATGACTGACTGAGATTGACAAGGTCAGCGTTGGTGCAGTCATGGGGTGAACCAACACTTGCAACAGTATTACTATACATCCATCACCAACGTTTGAAAAAGTGAGCAAAAAGAGACGGAAGTTTTTACAGTCTATTTGTAATAATAAACTTCTGAAATCCCTGGTGACTAAAATTTAATGTACCCTGCAAGATGAGAAAGGTAAATATATCTACTGGCGGCTTACCTGAGAGGGAAAAAAATTTTGATTAGGGGAGAAGTGGTTCAGCTACTAACTGATGATCAATAAACTGTACAGATGATTTTCTTTGCAACAGATGATACGATAGATTGGTACATTTTCTCGAGTACGTCTGAGAAGCCAAACTTACAGACAGCAATATTGGATGCAAATACCAATTTCAGTATCATAACTAGTTGATGAGTATAACTTTGTACCTTTAAATAAACGCTCACCAAAATCATATCTTGCAGGAGAGTTTCAAGTTGAATTAAGCAGTACTACGCCGAGTCCTATAACAAGTATGCTGAAGTGGGAAAGTGTGGTAAGCAACGAATAGGTAGGTACTATAACCATCGACAGGTCTAACTATATCCAGATGAAATATGAATGTCGACGTGGCTAATTACAGGCCAGACGAAACATGAATACTGTCTAAGTAAGCCACAGAATAATGTCGACGGATCTACTAACTTTTGGGCAGACTAAACATGAATCGATTTAACTTTAAATATTAAATCCCACCTGCTTTTACCCCTATTGAGAAAAAAGGGAAAGTAAATCTACATATCATTTTCCTCGAGAGCAATAACAATCGTGTGCAGGTATCCGAAATGTGAACAGAATGGCTAGGGAATCTAATGTACAGTACAATGAAACAGTCTATGGTGAAAACACGAAAATAAATATTCATACAGTGACAATGACTGAAAAACGTGGATGAGTAATTACGGGCTCATAAATGGCATTAGAAAAAGTCATGTGTGTTGATATATGCCAAACAGTGTTTGGTACTCACCTAGCAACTAGTGGTAGCCAGTCCCCGGCCATGTCACACTAACTTCTCTCTCCTAGTCTTTCTCGCCAGCTGACTGCAACTTCTCACTTTCTCTTTCTGTTTTCTCTCATGTTCAACACTGACAAGTATAACCAAGACATATGTTGGCGTGTCATTCCATAACACACTGACATCCCCTTTAAAATAAATTTTACATTTCAGTATCGCTTCACTATAATTTGTTTTTAATTTTTCGCAGCTGTATATACGAATAAAACTTCAGATTGTGAAGTGTATGATTCCAAGTGATAAAGAAATATGCACAACAGACATACACGGCAATGTTTTAATAGATAAAAAATTAATATATTACTGTACTGAACTTTACAATCAAGGCGTCCAGAAAATAGCCCGTTCTGGGATTTTGTTTCTTCGAACAATTTGTACTTGAATGTACTTGTAGTAAATGGATATGATATCGAAACTGTGAAAAGACCACTTTAAAAAGGAAAACGGCAGGTAGTGCGTGGCCGTTGCTCCTTCGGCAAACTGACAATAAACCTCTGATTTTTTTTCTTTAGTAAGACCGAGGTTTGCAACCCAGTAGAATCAGTATTGTTCATCTGTAGTTTACATAAAAAAATAGGTGCCAATATCAAGGTAAAAAAGAACAATATTGACAGTTTGTTTGTATTTTCACGTTGGTGAACTGAATTCTGTGAGGGTAATTCATGCCTGTATTATTGATGATTTAATATTTGATAAGTTCTAACCAAAACAACAAAATCGTTGAATAGCCACGCTCCTGGTAGCAAATATACGCTTGCAAAGGAGGGACTGCAGGAGACAGGTGTTTGTGGGCCGGAATACTGTTTCAGTTAATTAAATCAGGAAAGGCATCCATTGGGCTGACCAAAGTAGCCAAAGTACATTTAATAAGATATAACTGGAGACCAATATGTGTTGATTAATCCTTGGGTGTAATAAACTGTTACCACTAAATATGTCGCATCCCACTAGGTAGGGATCATTCACAGGTTAATATTTAGTAGTTGCCACCACCTAACTGAATATCGAGTCACATATAGGGAGGTAGAGAAAAAATATATAATTATTTATTCTAAAATGCTTCCGTTGGAAGTTTATAGTTTTCGAGTTATTTTAACTCCTATTTTATAATATTTAACCATAGTCATAGTCGTGTGCACCAATCAGCGTGAGTGCCGTTGTGATGTAATACTCGTGCCCTAATCAGCACAAGTCTCCTCTCTCGGGCAGTTGGAAGATGACTCTGTGTGAGAAGGATGTACATTGGCTGGCTGGCGCGCAGGGGCGATTCTACGGGGGGGGTCCAGGGGGGCCATGGCCCCCCCAGATTTTGGGCTGGCCTCTGGGTTGGCCCCCCACTTTTTATTCTCAAAATTTTAATTCAAAAAACATTCCCAAAACCAGGAAGTGAGTCAAGTGACTCGGGCAGTGGATGCGCCGCACGCCAGATGCAGGCATGGGTGAGGCGAGGTGAGGTGAGGCCCGGAGGGCAGGAATTGGGAGGGTGCAGATATGCGGGGTGGGGTCACATCACGGTGTATATAAACAAACTGCCTTGTCGGTGATGAATATTCCCACTCTGTATTTCCACTGAGGAGGGTGACAGACTGACAATAATTGTCGAATTTGTCCCCAAAACTACCCAGAAGAAATATTTCGTCTGCCACAGTGCCACTGTGGGTTTTTCTATTTGCTAAGTGAGGTATGTTTAGAGAGAACATGTGAGTAATTTTTTATCTATAGGAGTAATATTACAATCAGTCACTCTTAATCATTCAGTAATAATGCCAAAAACTGCATCTTGCAAGTTGTACACAGGTTTGGTTTTGCCCCCCCCCCTCCAACATTTACCTTGGCCCCAAAGTGGCCCCCTCACTTTCCGAAGGCTAGAGACGCCACTGCTGGCGCATTATTCAGCGCATTTTGGACAATGAAGCAGCAGCAGTTGACATTTTTAGGGCTCACAGTGTTCTTGTTTCATCTGTAAGGTGTCCAAAATGTAATTCAAAGTGTCAGTACCATGTAGATCACCATGCATGGTACTGTGGTAAGAGATGGACACTGATGAAGACACCACTTCCTCATTCACCCCTGTATCTCTTACTAGGGTAATTTTCTTACACACTAGGGTTTAGGTTAGGTTAGGTTTTTAGTTTTTTGAGCTTTTTACATTGTTTGACCTTCCACTTTTTTATCAATATCTCAACAACTGCTCATTTCCGACAGTAATGAAGGTCATATTTGTATTTAGCACCATGATTTACACTAAAAACCCATTTTCAAAAGTCAGTTAGGTGGTACCAACTACTAAATATTTACCCAAACACCAGCATCAACTTGTTAGGCTAGATGCTCTATTGTCTATCCTGTTGTGCTGTACTGTACAGTATTGTACTGTACTCAAGAGTGGTAAGATGCAAGATTCTATCCTATTCATCAAGAAAACAAACATGGCTCTTTCAGAACACATTACGGAAATTGTACATACTGTACATAATTATTTTAAATGAGATGCACTTTGCAAATGTAGTACTGTACTGTACTAATATTGTATTATGTGAGGCTGCAGTTGAACACCCCATGAGTTACAAACCTTTTTGTCGCTTGCCATCTTACTATCCAATTGGTCATCTCTCTGTTTCATGCCCAGGCTTTTAAGAAAATTTGAGCATGTGCTAATGTTGATCAAGCCTTGAAAAAAAAATGCAAATTACACTTGGTGCTACCATGACATTTGCTGGTAGATTTTCCCATGAGTTTACAGTCATCACTATGTTTGTTGTTATACAATAATGTTATTACTGAGTTTCATCAACAAAGCTCTTACAGTGCATAACAAAGTTAGTACAATACACATTTCCAAGTTTCCAACAGATAAAAATTATGAGACATTGAACTCTTTTGTGAATCACTAATTAATCCTGACAGTTAACTCCACTGATACTTAGCTTCCTTGGCTTGAGGCTGTTAACCTCTGGCTGAGCAGCAATCAGCTAACTGATATTGTCTATTGGATGTCTCGAGACTGAAAATGTCGTCGTCTTCCTTTACAGGTGGGGAGCTCTGAGATACACGCCCACCGCTCTGTTCTGTCCTGTGCCTCCCCATACTTCTTCGAGTTGTTTACTTCAGATGATGAACGCAAGACTGCACATGAAGGAAAGGTTAGCTAAGAGAAAGCTTTTGCTTTTAATCAAATACTCAGAGCAATTTTCAGTATAATATAGTGCTCAAATATTAAGAAATCTTGATTAAGTGATATTCAGTAACAGAATAATGTACTACAGTACTAAGAAAGGTACCAATTATATTTTATTTTGTGATTTTTTTATCTTTTATTTAAAAAATTTAGTTTATATATATAGAGATATTGCATATTAATGTATTTGTCTGTGAACTATGTGGATGATTTTTATTTTAAAATACATTTGACCATTCATTTATTATAACTTATTTTGTGATGAACTAATTACAGGGGGTCCCCAACTTAACGAACATCCGACTTGCGAATGCTCGCCTATACAAATGGGGTTAAACTTTAGATTTACAGTATTTTATTTACCTAATGACTTATTTTTTACTTTCATTTACTGTATTTTTTTCTTTCCTCAGCTGATGTACAAGTTAAGTAGTGGATTTGAGAGAGACTCTGTGGAGAGGCTTGTAAATTATGCCTACACTGGATGCATGGAGGTGCCAGACCCCCTTGTCAAGAATGTCTTCATTGCTGCCAAAAGGCTTAAGGTGTGTACAATACTAGGTAGATGCCTAGCTCCCTTCTCCTGATTACTAAAAAGGCTTAGAGGATTTTATAACATGTTGTATATTAAAAAGCTTTTCATATTACAACAAAATTACTAATATGGACACAAATCTTGTGAGTAAATCAGAGCCTCGGGAACCAAATTATACCAGGGGGTGCTGAAAATTAATTATGGTGTGCTAGATACTGTGGGGTGCAATGGATAACACCCTGTGGAGAAAATTAAACAAAGGCAAATTTTAGTAAACAAACAATTACTTGGTAATTTAGAATTACTTTACAGTAAGACCTCAGAACCTGGAAATAAATTATCCTGGTTTTAGAAAACTGAACCCTTTGAAAAACAATACAGTGTATTAAAAAAATAAATTTCCATGACTCATTGTTATGTACAAATATTTGCAAGTGTAAGAATTAAAATACAGGTATCCCCTGATTTACAATCGGGTTACGTTCCTGAAAAACCCATCACAAATTGAAATATCGTAAATCAGGAGCATAATAACATGGGGTTCAATGGGATACGTTCCCAGCCAGTCCAACACCCACATGTATCATAAAAAAAAAAAAAATCCTACACAAATAAAATAACTAAAACACATGTCCCCTTCGAGTCTAAGGGACTCTTGAAGGTGGAGACGTCACCCTGACTCCCACACAACTTCACAATGTCAAGCTTCACCTCCAGAGACACGGTTCTCCAGGGTGCCTTGGCCTTTCCAGACGTAATTGCCTCAGCAACATGCTTGCTAAACACCTTCAAAGTTACACTGCACACTTCACAGTCATAAAAACATGTCACAAAAACAGAGCAAAAGCACTTGTCATAATCTCAAAAACTGAATACAGGTACTGTGCAATCTGAACATTAATGATGTCCGCTTACTTTACGGAGAAAAATTACATTGATGATAACGTAAAAACAATGATAGTGGCCGACAATGCTCACATCATACTCACAACAGTAGAGGTAAAGCATTTAACAGTTACAAAAACCATAGCAAAAAATCACTTCACAGTCGCCAAAACAGAGTGCAAGGGGGACGTTAGTGTTGTCTTCTCTTGGTAAGGTAAAAAAAAGATAAGTCACAACACTAATACTAACCGATAATCTTTGAGCTACACAATTATGGGCAGATACGTTTTTTTTTTATATCGTAAGTTGGGAGGTGGTCTTAATACATCACACAGTGTTCAAGGAAAATTATCGTAAATAGGGAGATCATAAATCGGGGGTTGCCTGTACATTGTTAGCAAATTTCTACACAAGTTAGACTGAGTACAGTATACAGTATTTTAGTCTTCACCATAAATACTGTATACAGTATTTTTTTCTATCACATTGTGTGAGGACCTTCATTTTTCATTCCAGTTCTATAATACACTATCATAGGGATGTACTGTATATCAACTCTCATCACAACTAAGAGAGGCCAAAATTACTGTATTTTATTTTCAGTTACCTTAATTATTGCCGTACACATCACAGTACATTGTACCTTATAGGTGAAAGATGCAAGGAAGCTCTGGGTAACAATATGGGACTCTTTTTTTTTTCCCCCCTGTATTGTAATGAAATAGTGAGGCAAAATCCTTTTATAGTATTTTGGCAGATACCATGGCATTGCATTTGATTCAAAATTTAAGACAGGGCAAGAGCATTGTATAGCAATGTACAGTTGTGGATGAAAGTTCATTCCCCTTGGTGAAGCCGAGTCGCTGGAAAGAGTCTCCCAACTTACCCTGATTGTCGTCTGATGTGGCTGTGCTGTTTTATCTCATTTGGAGTTGATGCTGCTTCATTTTGGGAGGGAGCGAACTTTTGACCCCAATTGCACCAACTTAAATTGGATTTTCACATACCAAGTAGCCGTATGATTTGTGTACTTTCCCACTTACACTCATTAGGGATTAAAGATAGGTCATGCAAAAACGATACATTAGATTACAAGTGTCTAGAAGTTATATGTGACCAAGTTTGGAGTACAATATAGTACAGTTATATGTAGCAGATGCCGGGAAAATAAAAAGTTTTCCCAGTAATAATTCCATGGTTAATCAACATTTTCTTGGATAGGGTAGTAAGTGAGGTGGAAGAAAGAGTAAATAGGGAGGTATGCAAATTTGGTGAATACTGTACAGTAATGGTGCGCATATGGAAACATTTTCATGGATGGGGTACAGTAGTATGATGGTTGTAACAAGCAAGAGTAATAGTGAGGGGTGCAAGTTTGGTAATGACAATTGTGATATAAGTTGGAAATGGAAAAAGGAGACTTACTCTTGCAAATGTCAGTGCTCTGATGAATGATTAGGAAGAGTTAAAAAATGTTATTAAGCGAGATTGGAAGATTGTGAACTTGAGGAAAATTAATAGAATGTGAACGAAACTTAATTAATGAAACTAAGTTGAAAGGGGAGATGGAGAAATGAATGTTTGGTTCATTGGAGATAGTAAGGAGCAAGTGAGATGTTTTAGGGATTTAGGAGTGGTTACATGAGTGACTGGAGCATTGAGAGATGAAATAAATCACAGTGGAGCAAAAAAAAGTAAGGGATGCATAAAGAAGTGTATATTGAGAACTGTATCAAAGGAAGCAAAGAGATGTGCAGGGAGTCATTGAGCCAACATAACTACAGTACTGTTTTCTGGTGTGAAATGTGGTCTCTAAATACAAGAGGAAGAATCAAACTAGATGTGACAGAAATAACAAACTTGTTGAGAGCAATACTAGGGATGAATATGATACAGAGGATAACAAATGTAGAAATTAGAGAATGCAGATGTGAAAGAAACATCAAACTGAGACCAGACTAATGTCAAGGAAAGGTAAAAGTTACAGGGGAAGACAAAGGAGATGGAGAGATCAGGTGGAATGAAGGGAATGGACATCAAGGAAGTAGCAGTATGTGTAAATGATACAATAACAGAACACTTGTTATACAGCATTAAGAGCAATTGAACTGTAATATGGCTTGCAGGAGTAATAAAAGGACATACCAGTATATAGTTCCATAGTAACAAATTATTGATTGACAGATGGAGACTGTCTCTCGAGCCTGTGGTGAGCATCTTGTAGCCCATCTGGCTCCTGACACCTGCCTGGCAGTGCGAGCTATCAGTGGAATTGCTTCTAATGAGGAACTTGTCACCCGTGTTGATGAGTATATCCAGCAAGTGGTGAGTTGAATCTTAGGACTTGATTTTATTCTGTAATGATAGTTTTAGATTCTGTAAAGGATTCTTTAGTAGAAATTCTACAAGTAGAGTATATTAAATTCTGTTGGTGTGTTATTGAAGAGGAGTTGACAGTATAATAAAGAGTATTTTTTGGTTTTTGAAAAAAACTGATACTGTGTACATATTATTTAAAAAAAAGTGATGATGATAATGAGGTATATTTTAAGTTACCAGGCTCACTCCACAATTTTCTGCTGTTCTTTTAAGTTTATGGTCAATTTTTATCTATACAATATGATTTTTATACTTCATTTGGCTTTATTAACATTGGAGGTTCTTTGTCTTTCAGAGTGATTTGGTACAAGTGACAAGGGATGCATTGGGTATCCCAAGGATCCAGGTCTCTGTTATACATAGGACACTTGATGAAGCTGCCATCACAGGGCGTGCCCTTTGCATCCTTGTTTTGGAGTGGATCAAGAAGCAAATGGTTGAGGAGGAGCTTCATTTGGATTTAATGAAGGAGAAGGTAAGAAATTGTTTACCGGGGGTATATGTTTATTATTTTAGTGAATTAAATGCAAAATACTGGGTAATAATATATCATCATCTAACTTTGGATCTCAACTAAAGGTCACTACATGTACAGTACAGGATTTGTATGTTAAAGTTTCCAGGTTTAGTAGTTGATTAACTAAAAGCCCTAAAACATATTGTTTACCAAGCTAATTTTCATATGGGTGGAAGGCATTTTAATCAAGGTGAAACAGTTTGACTTAGAGTTTTAATATTTCAAGAATGAATTAAAATGGGATTTGGATGAACTAAAAAGTATTTAAATTTGGACACAGTACCCATATGAATGTTATAGGATAAAAAAAATCATACCTTATGTACTGATAGACCGAGTTTGCATTACAATTTAGCAAGTCTTAATAATTTGACTGTAATGTTATATCCTTACAGGCAGACATAAGTATTATAAGAAAATATTTAAGGCTCGTTACATTTACTCCTCACAGAAACATATGCTGTACCTGAACATTGATAATTCATTGCACGACTGCTCTGATATTCAGTCAGGAGACCTCAATGACTCTGACATGGTTCAAGATTATAAGAAAATGTCCAGAAAACTCTCTCAAACCAATATAAAGGTAAGTCATGCTTTCTTTAATGCAGTATTTGTAAGTTATGAATTATACTTTGTCAAAGCTATTGTAATGATATGATGTACTGTAATGATGCAGCATACACACCGTACTGTACCTGTACTAAGTAATTATGTTACCCGAATTATATGTTACAGAACTTTATGTTGCCACTATTACTTAACTTTTTTTGTACCGATATACAATTACTTCATTACAGTTTGCTTTGGTATTGGCATTGATAACCAAAATTTTGATGGGTGCAATTTTTAAAATGTCTTTTGGAAACTAAGTATGTGGCATTTTATATCAATTATATTTTAAAATTTACTGTGCATTGCTTTTTTATGTTATCCAGGTGGGATTAAAACAAACACAGCAGTGCTTAAGCCACTAAAATGCGTCAATAAATGAAACTGACTTTTTAACTTTTACCAAACATTTATTCAGTACTGTACATGCAAACAGTACAGTATACTGTATTGTTGTTCAGACAACTAGGGTATCACCCATGGATCTTACCTTATTCACTTAATTATTCTGTTTCACTCATTTTTGTTTTTATCCATTTTATCCATAAGACCATGTCATGTCAAAAAAAACTTTCACACACTCTTATTTCTTTAACATTTTTCTGTTAGTCTTGTTCATTACAGTAGACCCTCGCCAACTGCGGATTTCCCATCTACAGATTCCGAATATCCATGGGTTTTACACTGTACTGTATACCATTTCACCAACTACGGCATTGAATTTCGAGTATCCCTGAATTAGTGTGGCGTCTTTATCCCTCTACAGTCTGATACATTTTTCCATAAATGTGAGGAATGAATAAAAATAATACTAATCAATAAAAGTAAAAAATACTGCATTGTCATTTGGCAATCTTTTCACTCAATTTTAATTTAAATACAATTCAGGTATTGTTTAATGAAAGAACAAGCAACTTAGTAAGGCTTTGATGAGTGTAATTTGCAGCCATGGAACCTAACCCCATATATTCCATAAGCCTTTAGTCTTGCCAATTTCGGATTTGTCAACCATGGGATTTTTCAGGAACCTAACCGCGACGGGTAGCAAGGAACTACTGTACTCTGTATTTTCTCCATAACCTTTAAAAAATATTTAAAGATGACTTGATTTTGATATCTCATTTTATAATTCAGCCTGAATTGGGTGATTCATGTATAGTGTGGAAGTCTATAGCCTTAAACTTTGCTCTCGTCAAGGAAAGTGTTGATGTACTTGAATTTTTTCATAACTGATTGTTGTTACAATCAGAGAATTATATATGGTTGTCCTTCTCTTACAGTTGCGAAGGAAGTCAACAACACCACAACCTGTTAAACCCCGCCTGATGCTGTACTCTCGTAGCATCTCTGACAAGGATGACTCTGAGCCCGATTCGGATTGGAAACTAATTGCCTACTCCCAAGTCTCTGGTTAGTTTGCTGCTGTTATAACAGTTCTTCAAGTGAAATGTATTTTTTAAAGAATCCTTATACAATTTAAAATTACCATACTTTACTGAATATGCTTCATACTTAACTGGTAAGATAATGGAGAACAGATGTTAGATGTTCCTGTGGTTGTTCAATATATTTCATGTTTAGAGTAGTGAGGGAAATGGAGGCAAGGGTCACTAAGGGTGAGATGTGGCCACTGACAATTTATCTACCCTGGTGATGCAGTGCTTTTGGAGAGAGTGATTAAGAACTAAAAAGTATTGAATAATTTTGACAGTGTTTGTGATAGAAGGAAGTTGATGGTACTGTACTGTATGTGTTACTGTATTGTATTGTATTAATACAGAACAGTACAGTATATGTCAAAGATAATATAACAGCTCAGTAATAAAAATGCTGTTAACAAGCCATATATGATTGAATTGCGAGACAAAGAATTATAAAAATTCATAACGATGCAGTGAGAGCACTTTAAATGACATGGATGAACCTTTGTTTGCTCGGGGGAGCCTACCTGAGGACAAGGCCTTGGACCTGCCGATCCTGTTTCATCCCTCTGTGGCTTAACACAGTGAGTTGAGGGTTGTGACTCGGATTGATGGTAGACTGGCACTTTCCTCATAACCCACCTATGGCATTCATTGACCAAACCTCTCCAGAACAGTGAACATACCCCTTAATGAGTTCCTCCACGACCTTAAATACAAAATTGGAAGTGAACACTAAATATCCCCAAAGTCAATACTGTATTATGTGCAGGAGAGTTGCTTCCTCAGAAAGGTAATGCATAGAGCCCTTAAACGAGTCTTGAGACAGTATGTCCTGCCAACCTATATCGGCTTACACCAGGCAATAAAACCACCTAAGGAATCTGCTAAATCAGATTCCCCTCAACACAACCTGGGTCATAATCATTACTGCTTCACTGACACATTGGTTGAAACCAAGAATATAATTTCAGTAAATTGAATTTTCCCTGTGAAACAATTTTAACTAAGGCCAATAAATTTGCCTTGCTTTCTGTCTCAACCAACTAATCCTTTAAGTGCTAAAAGATCAAGTCGGTTGCATTTGTTGTGTCTAAATGGAGATGAAGACTGGAGAAAAGCACCGAAACTAGGTGGGAAGCAGTTGAAAATTAAATGGGAAATTGCACCTGGAATCCACGATGGTGGTGTGTCAGCTAAGGTATACAGTTCATACACAATAATGGACATCACAGCTCAAAAGACCTGCACTTAATGGTGAATGTTGTTTCTAATTGTAACAGGGAGAAATTGACTAATTGTTAGGTTAATTCCCTGCCCAAACCTTAGGATTCCTGGGTCTCTGACATGCAGGCCTAGTTTGTGGTTTCCTCAAGCTGCTTAGCAATAGAACATTAGGTTGTGGAATAGGAATTTTGATCAACTCGTATTTCTGTTACAAAAGAAAAGCTCTTGGATGTAAAAGAGAATAATTTAATTATTTTTCACTGAATATTTGAACATGGGAAAATTTTATTAGTGAAAGAAATAATTAATTTCTGATATTTCCTTTCAGAGAGCTCATGGGTTGCTGTTGTTACTCTAAAGGGTTCAGTTGCTGTAATGTCAGTACAGCAAAAGATGGGTAGTTCATCACCTACTTCTACTCCCATCTCCTCCCGCCCTGCTTCAGTAGAGAAGGTTGACTACTACACAGTTATTCCTCACATGTCATCTCCAAAATGTGCCACTGGCACAGGAAATTTCAACGGTCATCTTTTGGTTTGTGGAGGCTATGATCGCGGTGAGTGTCTACGCACTGTTGAAGATTACAACCTGGACATGAACACCTGGACTACACAACCTCCTATGCGTCAGGGTCGCGGACGTTTTGATTTGACTGTTTTAAATGGAAAGGCCTATGCTGTTGGTGGCTGTGACGGCTCTAAGGAGCTCAGTTCTGTTGAGGTTTTCGAGGAAAACTCCAAGAAATGGTCAAGTGTGGCTCCTCTACCCCTGGCTCGCTCTAACACTGGTGAGGCAACTAAGTATATAATGCTGTCTTCTACTCATTTATTCTTCTGCTGTTTTGCAGGCGAACCTGAAAAGAGCTTCCAGGAATGATAAGGAGATTATACAAAGGGAGTAGTGTCATGAAGGCAAGTAGCTGTATCTTTACCAAATTGTAAGATTAGCACAATAGCCTCCTGAAGCTTTCTCATCTAGGCAAACACGTGAGTAACATTGACTGTTAGCCATTAACAGTTATCTCCCTCTCTTTCTCCAACAGGACACTCGCAATCATGGAGTCTCAACTTGCTAGATACAGGAAGGAAAGGGGCACAGAACAATTTTTTTCCTGGCTATGATCATCTGTCATTTGACCAAAGTACAGGCAGATTCACAAGCCACTTTTCCAGATGTTCATGTGCCCATTTCTTGACCTGAACTTTCGAAGCAAGTTTAGAATACAGCTGTTGGAGGGACGGTGCTCATCACAACAGTTGGAGAGTAACCTTTTGGCTCTTTGTTATGCTACATCGGTAAGTAACCAGAAGGATCTGTTACAGTTTTGCTCACCAAGCACTTGTACAGGAACGTCATGACCTAATTTTGCTAATGCTCACATATTTCATGATATTTTGAAATGTTTTTCCAGATGGGAGACATATCCTGTGATGCGCTCACAACTGGATGCCTGGAAGCCAAGCCAGAGGAGTCAGTCCCCTTTTTCTATAGACACATTTTTATTCATCCGTGTATAGCTGTACCTAATTGTCCAGTAATCCTCATTCAATGGAAAACCACTAACTTAATACAAATCACATTGACCTCTTGTTACAACACATGTCAAACTAAATTTTGTATGTTTACAGTATGTTTTGGAACATTTTATGTACTGTTAATTGCTAAAATGGTTTTGGATGGAGATGACAAAGAATTTGAGTATAGCTATACATTTCAAAATCAGCACAGGATCCATTCACATGTTTGTGTCTGCATGTACCTCATTCAAAGAGTATTTTCAGTATGTGAAAGTGTATTGTAAATTTTTCATACAATTGTGTTACATATTTACTATGCACATGAATTGGATTATTATATTTTTTGCATGAGGTAATATGCAGAAAATATCATTACCCTGTTCTGAATGGGTCCTACTGAGTGCTACAACACATAAGTTTCTGAGCAGCAGTGTTCATTATCAAACTATCTTCAGTCTCATCATTTAATGCTTATTGCAGAGCCTGGGACTGTAACTTTTAGATGTATCTTTTTTCATTCATACTTGATTTCAAATAAAATAATGATGATCACAGAAGCATGAGGCAACTTGCCTATCTTGCTTTTTTTATTAGATAAAGGTATTGCAATATTTTAACTGGATAGTTATGTTTTTGTTTACACAACATAGTGTATATTATACAGTATACAATGCAACTTGTTGTCATATAACTGATAATGTACAATACAGTATGATACTTTAGTCTCAATTCTGAGTCATTTTGCTGAATTATTGTGTCTTTATATAACTTTTTAAAAAGTATATTCCCAGTGCTCTTTGAGATATGTATATATATATATATATATATATATGTGTGTGTATATATATATGTATAATATATATATATATATATATATATATATATATATATATATATATATATATATATATATATATATATATATATATATATATATATATATATATATATATAGTATATATACCTGTATATAATTTCTACCTCCATGTTCTTGCTCAGAAACTTAAAACATACTCACCATCTAGTACATTTGACTTCATTAACATTCTTCAGAGCAAAGTATTTACAATTGTTTCGTTTCTGTAATGGTTTTCTTTTCTATTTTATTAATATAGGTGTGTGCAGCGTGGATGGGAAGGTCTTCTGCATAGGTGGATGGAATGGTCAGTATGGCATTAAGCAGTGTGACATGTACACCCCAGAGATTGATACTTGGCAGACCATTGCTTCTCTTCATATTGGTAAGTGTCTTGTAGTTATACATTATACAGGTACATCATTTGGAAATTTTTTACAAAAATTATCGTAAAAGTTGGTTGGCTTTGAAGTTCAGGTGACTAACAAAACCCTTAACATTGTAACAAAACATTGACTAATTTACAGGTATTAACTTCACCATTATTAGTATTATTCATATCTTCGAAATATTTATTTTAATTCTTATGGTAGATATAGGAGGTAAGTGTAAATTTCTGCACATTACATGATGAACATTCATAACTGTGTTGAGGTCAAGGAAGCAAACAGTTATACGCTGTTGACATCAGTCTGATATTATCTTAATTTTTTGTGATTGAAACATGGAGGCATACCGGACAAACTTGGCTTGCTGATCCTTCAGATACAGTACAGTGATCCTTTGGTTAACGAGCGCCTCGGTTAACGAAATTTTGGTTAACGAATTACCTTCCATAAGATTCCTCACTTCGGTTAACGAAAAAATTTCGGTTAACGAATTCCTTACGAATTTTTCCCAACATGTTTTCGCCTGCATTTGCCTGCTCACCAGCTGTAGTATTAGTCCGCCAATACAGCAATCGGTTTTAGTGCTTAAATTCCGTATCATTTTAGTAAATATCAAGAAGGTTGTACTATTCAATAATTTTAAAAGTTTTTTATATTAAATTTTTTAGTCATTTTAACAATTATTGAACATAATTGAAGTACAGGAAACGAGTTTTTTATATAGTATTGATAATATATAGCGCAGTGCAGTGTTGATTTAAAGAAAATAATCTTGAATTACACCAAGTGAACTAAAATTTTATGGGTGAAATGGCAGCATGGGGTGACTTCTCTTCCACCCCAATGCCTTCTCTTCTCCCTTCTCCTCCACCCCCATTCTAATTCCCATCATCATCATCAACCAGGAGCCATCTACATGCACACCTCAAAGTAAGTGTACTTTACTGTATTTATTTTTAGTTTGTATGTAATTTTCGGTGAGCTCGAACGAATTACCCAAAAACCCATTGAAACAATGGTATCGGTTTACAAATTTTACGGTTAATGAGCAACCTTCTGGAACGAATTGTGCTCGTTAACCAAGGGACCACTCTACTTAATAGTTTTACATTAACAAGCCACTATAAAAGTGTTTAATGTTCCGATACATGATTTTTTTTCTTAAAGAGAGAGGTAGGTGTGTGTGTGTGTGTGTGTGTGTGTGTGTGTGTGTGTGTGTGTGTGTGTGTGTGTGTGTGTGTGTGTGTGTGTGTGTAAATAATAATAATAACGGTTTATTGAAAGAGCTTGGCAGCCAGAAGGCTGAAAATATACAGTTACATATTTGGGGGAATGGGTTCGAATTACAAATAATATACAAGTAACATAAGTGACACAAATAAGACATATAGTAACTTAGATGGGGATCAGCTCAAACTACAGTTCATTTCAACATAGTGACAGTGTAGGGAGCAGTGTTTACTGGGAGTGAATACACTGATTTATTACATGTTATTGATAATTTTTACAATGGTTGGGACTGGGCTGTTCTTATAGCGATCAGTTCGTGCACGTATGGGCTGGATGCGGTTGTGGTGTCGAACAGCAATTCTCGGACAGGGGATCTCAGGTGGTAGTAGGGGCCGGTGTCGGGGATGGTGTAGAAGCTTCTTACCAAATTTGCAGATGAGGCCGTGGTGATGGTCAGTGAGAGTCGAAAGGGTCAGTGTGTTGAGCGCTTCTTGATATGTGGAGTAGGAAGGGGAGAGAATAATCTTGCATGCCCTCTTTTGCACTTTTTCTAGGTGTTTACGTTGTGTGGCATTTAGGGAGGAAGACCAGGTGGGGGAGGCATAGGTGAGCTTGGGAAGTATGAATGTTGTGTATACACTGAGGAGCTCGTGTGCGGGAACTCCGAGGGACTTGAGTCGGCGGAGGAGGTGGAGACGGAAACTGGAGGATTTGACAACTTCACTGACGTGTGGTTTCCAATTTAGTTTGTTGTCTATGGTGACGCCGAGGAGCTTCGTGGAATCTACAACCTGGAGTGTGTTCGGACCTAGGGTAATGGAAGGAGGTGGGACAATGTCGGAGGAGAGGTTGATGTGCATAACCATGGTCTTGGTATGGTTGATGGTGACATGGTTGTTGGTGGCCCAGTTTTGGAGACTGGTCAATAAATCCTGAAGGGCGGTATAGTTGGGAGCAGAATTGTTGACGCTGATCCCAATGGTGGAGTCGTCGACATATTTCCAGCGAGCAGGGGTTTCTCTTAGGGCATCATTGATGAGCATAAGGAAGCAGAGTGGTCCCATCTTGGTGCCTTGGGGGACGCCACAGGTGAGTGACTGAAAGGTGGAGACAGCCCCTCGGAAGCGTACAGCTTGGCGTCGGTCACTGAGGAAGTCTGTAAGCCATGGTATGAGACTTCTCCGAAGCCCGAGGTCAATAGCTTTGTTTATGATTATATTGTGGTCGACTAGGTCGAACGCTTTAGTGAAATCAATGAAGGCGACAGCTACAGACGTTTTTCGTTTCTCGAGATGGCGGTATATGTAATCGAGAAAGCTGACAAGACAGTGAGTGGTGGAGGAAGTTTTCATGTTGCCAAATTGCTGAGGGTCTACGACTCCTGCAATATCAGCATAAGCCCAGTCAAACACAAAACTTTCACAGATTAGGCTGGGTATTGGGGTGATTGCAATAGGTCGTAGCTGATTTAAGGATTGTGGGCTGGTTGACTTGGGCACTGGTGATACATAAGAGGTCTTCCAGTCAGCTGGGCATCTGGCTTGACTGAGAGAAGCATTGATGATGGAGCAGAGGGGTTTAGCAAGCTCCGGGGAGAACTCCTTGAATAGTTTCATTGGTAAGTCAATGGGGGTGGTAGAGCGTTTTAATTTTAGTTTGTCCAGGCGTTTTGCTACGTCAAATTCTTCTACTAAGTCAGTGGGAAGGGGGGCTGGTAGGTAAGCAGGGAGAGTGGTTGTGTCAAGCCGTGGGAGCGTCTGGCATATAGTAGCGAAATGGTTATTTGTTTGCTCAGCTGCGTCAACATTAGTGAGGTGGCTAAGGAAGGGGAGGGGGTGTGTCATATTGTTTAGTCCACAGAGTTCTTTAAGCTTACCATACCATTGACTGATGTTGGTCTGCTTCAGGTGTTGTAATTTGGTTGGGTAGTGGGACTTCTTTGCAGTGCGTATTTCGCGGATGACTCTGTTGCGAAGTGACCTGTAGCGGATGTGGTCATTGAGATGAAAGGCTCTGTCTCTCTGTTGCATAAGTCTTTTGATCCGAGGTGTGATCCAGGGCAAGTCAGCTGGGTGAGATCTGACGGACTTCTCGGGGAAGAAGTGGTGGTGAGCTTCGGTGGTGGTGTTGGTATAATTTATCCATTTGGTTTCCACGTCATCCACGCTGAGTACTTCAGTCCAGGGATAGTGAACTATCCACTGTCCAAAGAGGCGTACTGCAGAGTCAGTAATCGGCCTGTAGGTCTTGATGTAGGGTCTCTGTACTTGAGTGGGAGTGGCAGCAGGGGACCAGAGCACTGATAAGTGTGTGCTACACCCGATAGGAGGCAGTGGTTGAGGAGGTTGGTACTGGTCCGCTAAGTCAGTTAAGATAAGGTCAAGGGTGTTTTGACCGTGTGTGGGGAAGGTCACAACTTGTGATAGTGATAGCTGGTCCTGGATATCAGTGGTGTCAATTTCATTTAAATCCCCACATAATACTAACTTGGCACATGGGTACCTAACTCTGAGGTAGTCTGAGGTGGTGATGAGATGATTGATAAGAGTGTCTCTGGTGGGTGATCAAGGCGGATGGTATGCCACACAGATTATGATGGAGGCAGTGTTGCGTGGGTGTGCCCGCAGCACGACACGTACCCATAATGCTTCCACATCTGCTGGGACTTGAACATCCAGGCGTGACGGGCGTAGGTCATCTTGACAGAAGAGGGCAACGCCCCCTCCGCGTCTTTGTGGACGAAGGTGATGAAAGAGTTGATATCCCTCAATGTGACACGTTTCAGGTACAATTTGCCAAGTCTCACATATGGCAACCACGCGCGCGGCGGTTGACCTGACTGTAGTTGCCAGCTCGTCGAACTTGTTAGCTAGGGAAGTGACGTTGGATAGCAGTAAAGACGGGAGATCATACCATATCCGTGGAACTTCAGTGTGGTGGTATGGTCTGTCAGGGGTGGGTTTCTCCGGTTTCCTAGTGGAGGTTACGGTTCTAATGGGCTTATGTGCATGACGGCCTTGTCTACGGCTCCGCGCGTGGAATATTTTCAGTGACTTGAGTAGCGCGATAACACTGCCATCAGGATAACCGTTCCCACGCTTTAGATGGTACAGAGTGCGTCGGGAGTAAGTGATTGGTGGCCATCGGTTGAAATCTGTTGTGGGCGGACGGAAGTGTTTGTCACTGGCGGCACTTTGAGGGACACTGACACTGGTAGACATCTGTTAATGTTTGTCAGTTGTAAAGACCGTGGACTTTGTCCTCGGTGCTTGGGGTCGCCGACACAGTTTTCACGATATATGTAAGCACCGCGGTGGTCCTTGTCACTGGCACTTTAAAGTTGACCGATAAAGTGCCCACTGTCTGACTTTTCCTTGGGGTGCACTATCGAGCACTGTATGGTAATCACTTATTGCACTGATGGCTAGAATGTTTTGCCGAGAAAGTTCCTTAAGTGCACTATAGGAACACTGCTCCGTAATCATTCGTTCACTAATCACTAGAATGTTTTGCTGAATCGATCCTGGTGTAGTAAGGCTGGTAGGGCGTTGGGGTATAGCAGGGGGAGTGGGCAGGGCCAAACAGATTCGGCCTGGCTGCTAAAACCGAGAGCGCCTTCAGGCACGTCTTATCTCACTGAGGGTTGACGTGTGTGTGTGTGTGTGTGTGTGTGTGTGTGTGTGTGTGTGTGTGTGTGTGTTAATAATAATAATTAACGGTTTATTGAAAAAGTTCTGCAGCCCGAAGGCTGAAAATATACATTGGGCATAAATGACTTATTACATACATTGGTGGTTTAACAAAAGCCTTCATTAGAGAAAGGTAAAGGAACATACAGTGAACATACAGATTAATGTAGGTGTTGAACAGCAAAAACGTAGTGTAGTAACTCCCTCCCAGATGGTGTTAGGAGGGACCTCACGTGGTGTAGTAGTTCCCTCACAGATGGTGTTATGAGGGGCCTCACGTGGTGTAGTAATTCCCTCACAGATGGTGTTATGAGGGGCCTCACGTGGTGTAGTAATTCCCTCACAGATGGTGTTATGAGGGGCCTCACGTGTGTGTAATTCCCTCACAGATGGTGTTATGAGGGGCCTCACGTGGTGTAGTAATTCCCTCACAGATGGTGTTATGAGGGGGCCTCACGTGGTGTAATGTTCCCTCAGATGGTGACATAAGGGCCTCACGTGGTGTAGTAATTCCCTCACAGATGGTGTTATGAGGGGCCTCACGTGGTGTAGTAATTCCCTCACAGATGGTGTTGTGAGGGGCCTCGCGTGGTGTAGTAATTCCCTCACAGATGGTGTTATGAGGGGCCTCACGTGGTGTAGTAATTCCCTCACAGATGGTGTTATGAGGGGCCTCGCGTGGTGTAGTAACTCCTTCACATAAGGTGTTATGAGGGGCCTCACGTGGTGTAGTAATTCCCTCACAGATGGTGTTATATGAGTGAGGTGTGGTTCCAGGCCTTCCTATTGTAGACGGATTAACACATCGCTGGTAGTTGGGTCTCAAGGGCCGTTATCACTGGGTACCTGGGACCTCACTGTGTGAAAGGTCAACTTGGGTACCACTGTTACTGTTGAGTTGTTCTCACTGACTTAAGCACTGTTCACCACTGTTCACCTCTGTTTAACACTGGTTCCATTTCTTTCCTAAATGAAATAGTAACTTCTGGCGTGAACTTGTTGATATTCCGGTGGGGAGGAGGGTTCAGGGGAGGGAGTTGGTATGGGCCAACATAACAGTTGACCTGGCTGCTCCGAGAGGAGCGCCAGGTACGTCTTGACCCTTCGGTGGTCAAGGATGTAGTGTGTGTGTGTGTGTGTGTGTGTGTTTTTTTTACCAGTAATAACACTAGAATTGTTGTTCTACAACATAACTTCATTATATTTGGCTATTCAAGTGAGTTATGCATTACATAATGGATTCAATGTACTTAATACTGTACTATATCTATAAACTGTGATACAGTATCAACTTTTCCCTAACAATGTATCACAAATGGCATCTCCATTCCTTGGCAATGTTGAGGAGCATATTTGTGAGTCTCAACACTCCAGACACCAGTTGTGGCTTGTGAGTGATGGTAACACTACAGTACAGTATTTGCATGAACTGTGACGCTTTATTTTTAATGCAAAAAAAGATCATAAAACCCAACTGCAGTCCAGGAAACAGTTGTTCTGACTCAAGGTGAGTTATAATTTGTTATTAAGTGTTGTGAAATGATGAAATTTTTTTTGAAATATAGAAAAAGTGTTGTCTGAAAGTTATTTTTTGGTGTATGTTTTTGTGCTGCAGTCCAGTACCCAATATTTTCGACTGAAATACATAGAATGATATACTGTATTTGTACTGTAACGTGATTTGATATTGAACATCACTTCTTAGTCCCACTCTTGCATTATATCAAGGGTAATTAAATGTACATTAAATGCTGTTTTATTGCATAACTGAAGAACTAGAAAGTTAAGTCAAAAGACACTCATACTGAATCAAAAGTTGAAATTAAAAGCTTTTAACCTTTAGACCACTGCTTTGAAAAACAGGCTGTATGCACAATAAACAAAGGAAAAAAACCCTCTAAAAACATGTTATACTGTATAGTTACAAAGTAAAGATATGTTATGCATGCAAAAGAAAAAATGAAAATACATATCATTTACACTTATACATCCTTTTTAGCCATGGTGGAGTGTTTTAAGATGAGTGTGTGGGGCCGAACTACTAGGGGGAGAGAAGGGGGGAGTTGGGGGGACCAGGACAGACTGTTACCAGTGGCAATGAACTTGCATTTTCCATAATGACAAATGCAACTGTTGATGTGTGGGTGGCATGGGGAGGTCTCTTAGGATGTGCTTTATGAATGCTATGATTGGCATATAATTTTAAAATAATGGCTGTTCGCATATGAGAGATGTCGCAGTTTAAGGATTAAGAGTTAGGAAAATATATCTCCATTATAATTGGTAAAGTCACAATCCTTCATTTTCTGTTATTTAAATGAGGAGTGAATCACAAATCACATGCATGATGCTGGTAAACATGTTGGGTTACTTAGCTACCTGGTACAGTACAGTACTAATTATCCATAAAAGATGTTAAGCTTCTTAATACCTAGGGTGCTGTATCAACTATAATTGAAGTCCACCACCTCCCAGGTTGTCAGACTTAATTACAGAACCATTTAACTAGGTACCATTATGACTGAGGTATGAGGAAAAGGTCCAAATTTTCACCATTCTCCCTAAGTCAAATTGTGTGACATTGATGAAAATGGATTGCCTGGAGGTCTCATTTTCAGTAATTGGGAAAGAATAGAGGTATAATTCAGGGGTAATCAATACAGTTCAGTGGCCATTCCTTTAGAAATGAGGAGTTCAGTTACTGTATGTAGTGGAGGATTAAGTGAAATTTGTGGTCTCCAAGTACAGTATTGTGGTCAATATGGTCAAGCTACAACAAGCTGGAAATTGTGAACCTAGTGGGGTTTATAATTGTTAACCCCTTCACTGTGGGAATGCCACTTTTAATATTTTGTTTGGTAATGCCAGACTATTTTATTCAGCTCAGAGTGGACCCTGGACACAAGGGGTTAAAGAGCCATTTGCTTAGCACTGACTTTAAGATAAAATTTCATGATCAGTGCCATGTTATTAAAAATTTCTATGATGGAAGCCAGAAATACCCAAAATACCATGTGAATTGAAGATAGTAGTGACTTGGATGATTAAGGTTGGCACTACAGTGAAACCTCGCTTTACGCGGTCAATTGAACCCACGGAGGCCCGCGTAAAGCGGGAAACGCATAAAGTGAACAACAGAACATATGGGATTAATTGAAAGAGACTGGGCCGACCCCCAAACTCCTCTTTTTCAGACACAATACCTACGTTGTAGTAAAAATAACTTCTTAATTTTATGATGGTATGCACACACAATTAATAATTAAGAGAAATATCAATAATATTAGGTTTTTTAACACTTACATTAGTAGAAAAGATGGCTGGTCACACGGGGATGGGGGGTTGGTTCCGAGGCAGAGGGCAGATTATTGGCCCTCACCTGTATCACTTGTATCAATTGTATCACTATCCACCACAGAGGCTTGCAGGGCCTCTTTGTCAAACCCTGAAAGTCCATATCAGTCCATATCCTCACTATCACTGACTTTGGCCAGCTGTGGTGGGTGGCGGGTGAAGAACTCAGTAATGTTTTGATGACTGGGTGAACTTGTGCGCAGCCTGCCCGTGCCGCTCTCCACGTAAAAGAGTACATGCACCAAGTAAAGTGAGCATTCCGTGTCTGGCAGGGTACCGCGTAAACGTGGAAACGCGTAAAAAAAAAACCCGCATAAAGCGGGGTAATACTGTATTTTTCACTTATATATTATTTATAATTTTTCTTTTCTTAGGTCGGTACCAGGCTGGGGTGGCTGCACTCAATGGGAAGGTTTATGCTATAGGAGGTTGTGATTCCTGGAACTGCCTTAACTCTGTAGAGGTTTATGATCCAGAAACTGATATTTGGAGATTTGCAGCCCCTATGACCACTCCAAGGCGAGGGTGTGGAGCCGAAATATTCAAAGGTTAGTGTACATGAAGGACTTGTGTCTATTTATTGCAATATTTTGCTTATTACGGAGTATTACCGGGTAGTACTGTATAATAAAATTTTATAAAACTCATCCAAATGCGATTTATGTATGAGAATTTAGCTATGTAAGTAACATTTGTTTAGGGATATCTGTATTACAATTGTTCCAGACAATGAGCATCTCAAGTATGTGGCTAATTGTTCCTTATCAGGGGTGGATCCAAGATTTTATGAGAGAGAGTGGGGGGGGGGTGTCAGATTTTGGGTGAACGAAAGTAAGAACATAAGAATGGAGGAAACTACAGCAGGCCTATTGGTCCATAATAGGCAGCCCCGTTTACACCCAACCCGTCACTCATATATCTGTCCAATCTATTCTTGAAGCTTCCCAGCATGTTTGAGTTAATGATGAAGTTTGAAGTTCAGTAACTTGTACCATTCATCCACTGCTCTATTTCCAAACTAGTGTTTACCTATCTCATGCCTAAATCGAAATTTGCTATGAGTTCGCTCGTGGTTTGATAGTATACTTGCCTTTGTTGTATCACCTTTGTTTAACCCTGACTTCCATTTATACACCTCGGTCATATCCCTCTCACTCTACATCTCTCGAGGGAGTGCAAATTTAGATGCTTTAATCTGTCTCTATAGCACAGTTTGTCATTAACATCACACAGTTGTGGGCGGAGCTTCTGGGCGACCACATGGTAGTGGTACGGAGGACAAACAAAGCGCTGTTACCCTCGATAATAAATTCAAATAACCACTGCCATAATTATTATCTTACTCATTAAAAGATGTATAACAAAATAATTCAAAATATAACAGCTGTCAGCATATGAAGTATATATTTCTATTGAGATGGTTGTCCTCTGTTCCTCAATTGCTGCTCACGCTGTTATGTTGTCTTGAATCAAGTTATAATAACATCGACGAATGACGAACTGTGTTATACTGAAGGTTCCTCGTGCTCGAGATTTAGACTTGTCATTCTCCTCTGAATGCTTTCTAGGGATTTGATGTCTATTCTGTAGTACCTGTACAGTGACCAAAACAAAACTGCATAATCTAACTGAGGTCTCACATGTGCAAGATATAGTTTTATGATAACCTCACTAATCTTGTAACCAACACTCCTTAAATGAACCCAAGTACTTTGTTAGCCTTGTTTTGAGCAAATACACATTGTTGTCTTGGTTTAAGACTCTTACTTATCATTACCCCTTAATCTTTCTCAGTCAGATTTCTCTATAACAACATTGTTCATCTGATATCTGGTTTCTCTATTAACATCTCATAGACTAAGTACTATACTGTACCTTACATTTTTCCACTTTAAATTTCATCTTTTTTCAGACTACGCAAAAAAAATTGTTCAGATCTTTCTGTAGTTGTGTGGAGTCCTTGTAAGAATTGATTACACACCCTACATACAAAATGGAAGCCCCTTGAGATTGAGGATGGCCGGCCCATGGGCCTCCTAGGTTTGAATTTGTTAAAGTGTAGAAGCTGTCGCCAACACAACAACCACACCCTAAGTTAACGAGCTGCATGTCCCAGTGTCAAGGAATAGTCCGAGAAGACTGGACAACTCGCCAACTGCACTGGCTAACCATTACCCCGGAATACGATCCGTAAATTGATTAACATCCAGGTTCCCAATTACTGCTGGGTAGACAGAGGCAAATGGCGTAAAGAAACTTGCCCATAGTTTCACCCTGCCCGAGGATCGAACTTGGGTCCGCTCGCTTGCGAGGCGAGGATGCTGACCATTACACCACAGGTCGCCGTATATTAGTGTTGTCAGCAAATGTAATATCTCCGTTAGCCGGAATCCCTCTTATCCCGAACTCTCTGATAGCTGGAATTAAAATTTGCTCATAATTTTTCCAGAAAATTCTGGATTTGGGAACGATTTTTCGTGGTTGAAAATCAAGTGCACTTACTGGAAATTTCCAAGAAAAATTCTGGAAACTGTCTCCAATTTTTTTCCGGGTGTGGGAACAAATTCCGAGGATAAAAATCATATACATTTTCTGGAAATTAAAAAAAAAAAATTCCAGAAACAGAGTAATCAAACGTAGTTTGTCGTCATACTGCCATGACAGGGATCATCTGGATCTTTTATCACATTTCCACCACAACTTGGTTTTGTGAGTGGCATACCTGGTATTAGTATACCTGTATGTGAACTTACTGTGGCAGCTTTTTTTTAACTACATTTATTACTGTCAATAATTTCTATGGCAGTAGGAGTAAATAATATTTACGGTTACAATCTCTTAATGACCTAACACTAGGTATACACAGTTCTTCTTTTATCTCAACAACATGACAGTCTTACTGAGTCGGCCAGCCAGGCCCAGCCACCAGTTGTCACCAATTGTCTTGCCAATGACATCATAATTTTCACACACATGAATTGTCAAAGGAACCGGCTTTCTGCACCTCAGTGACATGGTGAGGGAGGGCTCCGGGGAGGGGTGGGGGGGGGTGGGGGGTCCTTGGGTCACCAAGTGATGGTCAAAGTCAACTTCAGGTGACTATCAGATCAGAAAGGGTCTGTAGTGGGAAAATTAAAAATTAAAATATTTTAAAAAGGCCATGTTTCTGTCACTAATTATGCATTAATTATGAGAAGAAACTCACAATGGCATACAAAATGTTTATTTCAAACAGTTTTGGTGACAACTGTTGCCCTTCTCAGTGGAGTTACAGACAAAGACTGGTACATTCATTACTACATAAGCTCCTTATATACAATGCACACGACTGCTGGTGCATTTTGTATACACAAAGTAGTAATGACTTTTGTACATTGCACCATCTGCATTTAAGATACCACAATTTATTCATTACCAACCTTTATGGTATGAAAGAAAAACCACCTGTTTTTAATATAATGACTTCATTCATCAAAAATTTGCAGTTGTAGTTTATATACAATAATGTTTATGGAATGTATTCATTGTTATAATTTCAGGCAAACTATATGTAATGGGCGGTTCAGATGGAACACACAGTCTATGCACAACAGAGATCTATGATCCTGAGATGAACAGCTGGATGCCTGGTCCCTCTATGACTACTTGTAGAGCCAATGTTGGTGTAGCTGTTGTGCATGGAAATCTGTATGCTGTTGGAGGATTTTCAGGTGGGTAAAGTGGTGAATTAATTTCTATTTTGCTCTGTATATATTTGAAAACTGTACTGAAAGTTTTTTTTTCTTTTACAATATCATGATTGTTCTGTCCACAGGTAAGAACTTCCTGAACAGTATTGAGTACCTAGATCCTGCAACTGATGAGTGGACCAATTTTACCCCAAAGCCAGAGGTTGTCAAGAATGGCAGTGATAATTACACTAAGAAAAATGGCTACAGAAATAAAGACAGTAGCCAGAACATAGAGAGTGATGATGCAAATAGTAGTGACCAAGAAGATGCTAATGAAAAGGAAGGTCTAGCTAATGGTCACTACATGGCAGAGAATGGCTGTAATGGTCTCCCTAATGGGGGATATCCAATTACTGCTAATGGACACTAAACTTAAAATATTGTTACCCCATGGTTATGAGAATATGGGGGTCTTCCCTCAGGTTAAAGAACATACTTTTAAGCTGTTTATTGGTCTCTTCTGAAAAGAAACCCATTTCTTTATACTCTGCTGTCCGCTCACTTGATGGGCAACACCTAGGTGTTTGTCTTGTAGGTAAACAGCACCATACTGTGTGGCCTAATAGTTCTGCTTAAGAAAATGTCAGCATTTTTGCAGTTTACTGTTTTTTGAGGCTCTTTCTTCAAGTTGCATTTTCAGCAAAACCTCCCCCTCTGGAAGTAGGTGCCTTCTTTCCTCTAACTGAGGTCATACGTAGCCAGCTATGATAAGGTACAGTATGTCACCAAGAGACTGACAACTTCAGAATGTTAGACCTGAGTTCTGATATTTATTCTCTGCTTCACTTGTTGGTTGAGTCAAGCTATTTGTCTATGACTGTGGAAAATGTACTTTGTTTTACTAAAATATTAATACTAAAGTTTTACTTTATTTTTATTTGATTTTATGGCTGTGGAGAAATCGTTGTTAATTATAATGGAGTTAGCTGTCATGATCTAAGATCTTATCTTGTACCACTCATTTGTATTAATGAGGATTTTTTATAGATATTTGAAAAGTAATTTTTACATTATGTTTCCAATATGGTTCAAGGGATCAATTTTACTGTAAGCCATTTGCTTATAATTTTAGCTAGGGCAAAACACTGTACCCAAGGTTTAAATATATGAAAAAGTGCCAAAATAGATTCATGGGTGACTCATGCATCTCTGGATTCATGGCAACACTAACACTTGATTTTCAAAGTCTAAAATAAGCAATAGCATCATGGTTTAAATTAATTTAGTCTTAACAAGTTTAGAGGAATGTACAGATTGAATTTAAATATGCAATTGTACAGGGGATTTGGCTGTAATAGTTTTATGATAAGTCTCTTAAATGAATTGACGATAGCACAAGCAGTGTTGTAAACATTCTTAGCATTTTTCTAAGGAATACAGTAATTTTGATGTATTCTTATCTCAAAAAATGAAAATTTCAATTATCATATTACAAACATTACAGAAAAACAGGTGTTCTGAGGGATGCTGATGCCTTCATTATATCCAGTTTAAAATTCATGGTACAAACATTGACTTTGTCAACTGAAGTTTAAAATTCAGATGTGTCACATATGGAACTTTCTGCTTTTCCCCCCCCCACCAACAGCCAGTAATATGTCAAAATACTCTTTAGAAGGGCAAATTATTTCCTGTACAAACCTAGCAGGAGGCATCATATCAAGATAGGCATGAGGAATACAGAAAAAGAGGCTGAGCCATATCACATTATAGTTCCAGAAAACATTTACTATATTTGCTTGTCAGATCCTTCTCCGTCCAGTTATTCCTGCTATACTTTTTACAGGTGTGTCTTAAATATCTTCTTGCTATTTCCAAAGTGTGAGTTGCTCATTGATGAAATTTTAGCACATACGTACTGTAAGTTTTGGCGATTTACAGTGTAGGTGAAATTTTTTTTTATGGCATTACATGTATTTAATTATATATATATATATATATATATATATATATATATATATATATATATATATATATATATATATATATATATATATATATATATATATATATATATATATATATATATATATATATACACAGTATGTAAGACCACATATAAACATAAATATTGTGTTACATATAATTCTTCGTTATATCAAAGTGTCATATAAAGCATGATATAGGTAGATTTTATTAACAATTAACAGTTTTAAAATTCTTTGTATTGTTTTTTGTATAAATTTTTATATAAGTTGACTACTTTATCGATAAGCATGAACTTTTGAAATCAAATCTTATTTTTATGGCATTAACAGTATATAAGTGTCAATAGAATGAACTTTATATATGTTTTATCATAATTATTTCACTGTTATATTTGACGTTGAATTTCAGTGCATAAAATTAAGAAAGCAATATGCACTGCAAGTACAGTACTTTGACAGTCATCTGAGTTTATAAGGATATTAATGCTAAGATACATTTTTTATGTAGAACAATGAAGTTTTAGCTTGGTCAGACACAAACAAATTTACTATATATAGAAGTTTTTAAGTTAAGTTCCATATTGTATCATCTAGATGCCTTTAATTGTATCTTATTCATTAGTGGTTCACAGACAAGGATAAAGCAGTTAAAAACAGTTAGTCACTGGCTGTGTACCACCTCATGAAACAGTAAGGCAGAGTACACTTCATCTTAGATCATTGCATTTATTATTTATTTATTTTTATTTTTTAAACAAGAATGTATTAATCATTAATTATAAATTGTCACTATTGTAAGTGATCCTCATATCACATCGCATATGTCCAAAAAGCACTTTTTATTGTAGACAGTACAGTACTCTGTTTTATCACTCTTTTATAGTACTGCTACCACCTCTTGTTATATGGTCAAGTTTTCACTGTCATTTATAGCTGCATGTCATCATGAGCAAATGTGAATCATATGTTTGAGAAAGGTGACATAAGACAATGTACTGCATACTGGATTATATTGAACCTGGACCTTAATGCTTTAATCTACACATTTGCTCAACATGTCATCTTTTACCTGTGTGTATAAACTGATATCTGCATTCGGAATGGTTAAAGGGACCTGTTGCTAAAACTAAATGTTTATAAACCTCTTGTGTAAAGTATATGTCATCTTTTTTTGTGCTACGGTTTACAATCTTTGATGGGGTTACACGAGATGCAATTTTCAAGATAATGGGTATCTGGGATACCTATCTCTTATCTACATAATATAACTGAGTCAGTCAACCAACCATATCATACCAGTCGGCAAAATGGATGAGTGTACAAGTGTTATTTGCTGAAGGATAATTATGCAGCATATTGGGAAAATTACTTACTTAGTGGTACATTCATTATTATTATTTGTTTAAAAAAAATAACATTAAGAAAAGTGCATACACTATGTCCAGTATATATAAATCTCTAAGAAATCATTCATTTAGCAACATTACCCTCAAACAATTATTTACAGCAATGGTAGTTAGTACATGTACAGTAATAGTGGATACAGAAATTTTTATTTAAAATAGATAAAACTGACTCTGTTTTGTAATTATGAAAATGGGGAGAAATTACATTGGAATTATTAATTTTTTTAATATTGTAGGTGATGATCATGCATCCATTAAGAGATTATTCACTCCTATACTTCTACTATTGCTCACACCTTTAATGAATATCATATATATTATTTTTAAAGCACCAGACAAGCACGCATATGAGCACTGTGGTTGCAATATCATCCTTTTTGTAATGTGCAGTGAAGCACTGCATCAGTCATCTACTGTACTAAGGAATATAAATATGGATCACTTCACTTTTCAATTTGATATTTCCTGTCTTTATGACTAGGACTGACATATACCTCACTTTTTATATTAAAAAACCTCATGGCAAAAAGTGTTGAAATAAAGATATTTAATATGCCATGATTTCTGCATTCTTATAAGATGGTATTTGTGAGATTAGCAATTGCTGTGATAGAATGGGTAAAACTTTTTCTCAAAACAAATGCTGAAATTGATACTGGATAATATATGGTTATTTAATACTTTCTCATTACTCAATTTGTGCTGGGTAATTGTTCCAAGCAAGAGTATGGAATATGTATCAATTTATTTTTTCAACCATATCACAGGATGTTGTACCTGTGATCCATTGTTTTTATTCAGTAAAATGTGAACAAATGTTTAGTAGTATGCCTGTGTTGTAGTCAGGCATATAAATGTTGGCAATTGCATAAAGACAAGCCACCATTTAAAATTTGGGATATGCTGGTCACCCAAAACAATATATTTTGTACTACAGTATATTAAACCACGTCTTAAGTACTTGGTCAAATCTGAAGGTTTACTCTTCTTGTATTGATTATATGATATCAACCACATTGTACATTATACTGAAACAATATCATACATATAACAATGGAGACTGTATTTCATTTTCCTTATCTATGCAAAGATTATCAATAGTTTCGTTTTCCAACAAATTGAAGCAAAAAATTCCATTATATTGTTGAGGTGAACAAAATACTGCACTATCATTAAACTTTTAAAATTTTACACCAAAATTAGCATTAAAAAAAAGTGTTTCATGTGTCCTGTGTCCTATTAACCTGCTAATGCTATCCACATCTCAATAGGGTTTAGTTGCCTTTCACTGATCATGGAAGAAAAGCATTCCAAGCAATTTAGTGGCAGTCTGCCTCCAGTCATCCCCCAGATCTTTGCTTCATCCCCCTGTTATGCTGGTTAATTCCCCCAGTTAACCAGGTTGGTACACATGTAATATAATTGGGCTTTTGGTAACGAAACCCAATTGAAGTTTCTTGTTTTATTATAAAAGTATTATGTTTATAATTCCTAAGTGTATATCAACCGTAAGTTCCACTATTTATGAGTGAATGAGAAAGAACGGCGTTTATGTAATATAAACGTGGATCAACGTCCGTTCGATATTAGTTGATGTGAGTGACTGACTAAGAGCGTCGCCCCTGGTGCGAGCTTACTAAGATGCTGACATATGAGCTTCTCCCTCTTGGGAAAGCTACCATTCACGTGTTCAACTCATGTCTTACTCATAGGTAGTGGAAAGTTATATAGAGGGTGAAATCTGAATATAACTCAGATGTAAGAACCCATTTATATAATACTTCTGTTGATGAAACAGGGGCCATTACACCCCTACACCTTATACCAGCAAAACAAAGGTAGATGCAAGGGTTTTGTTTTTCATCTTTCTGTATGTACAGTGTCTCAAAAAAGTATCTGTCCACACTGTGAAACATTGTAACACCAAGGATGATAGATATTAGGACATGCATTTACTTTGGTATATATTTTAACATAAGTAATGCAATGTGTATTTATTTTGGCACAACTAATATGATGTTCAGTTACCAAATACAGTATAGTCTGGATTTACGTGGTTTTTGTTTATGCGGTGCCTTGCCAGAAAGAAATTTTTTAATTACGCGGTAAATTTGGTCATTTGGTCATTTACGCGGCGAGCAGCTAGAGAGGACCAGATGCGCCGCGCCATTTTTTATTCACGCGGTCCATTTTTGACCATTTTTGACCATACGCAGGAAGCGGCCCTGGGAGGGGTGCGCAGTATGTCGCTGTTGCGTTATGGCTGACGTCATATGACATATGGGACTGTGATTGGGCCACTTATCCTTACCTCCCTCCACCGCTAGCTGTGATTGGTCTAATGTTATATGACGTGGCCTGGCACAGGAGAGAAGCTACTGACCTAGCCGCGCCAGTCTCATTGTTCTCAGTCACCGCGTATACTGTTCTCTCTTGTGCCTGCTAATCTGTTCAACAATGGCTTCCGCTGGACCCCCATCACCCCAGAAAAACCTTGCATTACCTGGACCAAGCCGCCCCAATCCCAAGAAGACACGACGCGCCCTAAGTTACGAAGTGAAGTACAAAATCGTGCAAGAGTTGGAGAAAGGAACGAGACAAGTTGATTTGGCGTGCCAGCATGGCGTGAACGAATCTACGATCCGGATGATCAAGAAGGATGCCGCCAAGATTAAAGAACACATGAGCATCACAAAGTCTGCAGGTGCTTCAATGGTGAAGTATTGTCAGAATAAGGTGCTGCTCAAGACTGAGAACTTACTGGTGAGCTACTTAATTCGTCAGGCAAGACCTGACATGGCTGTGGACACGCGGGCAGTGCAGGACTACGCTCGTGAACTGTACTCATCAGTGGCGTGCAAGATGGGAATTGCAGAGCCCAAACCCTTCACTGCTTCCTCTGGGTGGCTGCAAGGGTTTAAGAAATGGAACAAGATTACCAACATTGACATTGTTGGTGAAGGAGCCAGTGTTGACCGTGATGCTGCCATGGATTTTCCTCCATTCTTACGAGAAGTTATGGAGGAAGGACAGTATGCCGACGACCAGGTGTTCAACATGGATGAATCCGGTCTGTTTTGGAAAAAATTACCTTCCAAGACCTTCGTTGTCAAGTCTGCCAGCAAGTGTCGAAGCCGGAAGTTGCAGAAGGAGCGCATCACCGTTCTGTTTACCACCAATGCCTCCGGTACCTGTAAGCTCAAGTTGTCGGTGATCCACACGGCCCGCAAGCCGCACGCCTACAAGAATATGGACATGACCAAGCTAACTGTCCACTGGCTAACCTCACATAAGGCGCGGATGTTCACTGGTCTGTCCCTCTCCTGGTTTGACAACTGTTTCGTTCCCGACTTGAAGAAATTCTGCACGCAAAATAATGTGCCATTCAACATTTTGTTGCTGCTTGACAACGCACCAGGACACTCGCCCCTACTGTTGGATCATTACCCCAACGTAAAAGTGGTCTTCCTTCCTCCCAACACTATGTCGTTAATCCAGCCCATGGACCAGGAGTTGATATGCAAAGTGAAGGCTGTATTCTCCGCAAAGAAGTTTAAGCTCCTGAACGACTGCACCAACACCAAGGATGAGTTACGTAACCTTCAGAGTGGCACAGATAGAGAGAGCGACGACGAGGATCCAGAACATGAAGTGCGAGTTGAACAGTTTTGGAAAATGTTTAATGTAAAGAAAGTTGTTGATTTCTTGGTGGAGGCATGGGGGCAGCTGTCTGTGGCAACGATTCGTCACGCGTGGCGGCATGTGTTGCAAGGTATGCCAGGTTGAAGGCACAGGCAACCTGTGGCTGGTGAGGTTCAGTCTGTTGCAGTGGCAGTGGACCTTGCAAGAGAAGCTGCACAGAGTGTTACAGCTGCAGGCTTCTCCGAGACCACCAACGACGACATCATGGAGGTAATCAGGGATCCTGAGGTGACTGCCGACGAGATGTTGGAAGACGATGACGTCAGTGAGGAGGCAGGTGGTGCGGCAGCAAGAGAACAGAAGTTAACTCATGGTGATGTAAAGGATGCCATCGGGTTTGCCGAGAAACTCAAGCTCACCCTTTCCAAAGACCCTGTCAATCACCGGTATGAAGTTTTCAATAACCTTCTAGACCAAAGTATGGAGCAGTACATCAAGATGTATCACGACCACATCAACACTAGCCGTCAGCGTAGCATCACCGACTTCTTCGTCCGCAACCCACCACAGCCAGCCCAAGTCAGTGATAGTGACAGTGATGGTGACTTTGAGGGGTTTGTCAGGGAGGCCCTGACATCTGTGGTGGATAGTGATAGTGATTCACCTGAGGGCCACTAATCTGCCCTCTGCCTCGGAACCAGCCCCCATCCTCGTATGCCGACCCATCTCTTCTACTAACGTAAATGTTAAACCTTGATATTTCTTTTACCTGGTACATTATATTATTTTCTTATTGATATTTCTCTTCTAAATTATGTGTGTGTGCATAACATCATAAAATTAAGATACTATTTTTACTACAAAGTACGTATTGTATCGGAAAAAGTGGAGTTTGGGGGTCGGCCCAGTCTCTATTTCAATTAATCCCATATGTTCTGTTATTTCGTTTACACGTTTCTCGTTTTACGCGGACCTCCTCGGGTTCAATTGACCGCGTAAATGCAGACCCATCCTGGCAGATACTTTTTTGAGATACATTGTACTGTACTTACAATATACTGTATACAATATATCATTTAATTTGTTATCTTTTAAAGACTTTTTCTCCTTTCTATATTGTGCACAAACAGCAGCTAGGTTTTTCAAAGTCACAGTTTAAAGGTTAACTTCCCTAGGTACAATCTATCTTTACCAAGAATCATTTTAATCACAGATAAAAAACAAAGGATAGTGTAAGTATGACAAATGTCAAATATTACTGTACAGTATTCTGATCTTATGAGGGGCAACCTAAAAAAAATAAAAAAATAATAACAAAATATAATTTAATTGCCCATAGCAATATCCAATGTTAATATACAGTAAGGTCACAGCTTTACTCCAAGAAGTGTAATATGACTTCAACCCTTTTAAACTCTTTGTGCATTTCGTAAGTGTTCATATGGATGATTCATGTAAGTAATTTTCCTGAGAGTACTGTAACATTGTAACATGTTCGAGAATGACGATGCATAGAATCAAGTGTACCAAGATAATAAACAATGATTTGAGTGTTAATTTTATGGTTGAATTAATTATTGATATAAACAGTGGTAAATTTAGTTTGTTGTTGGTTGAATCAAATACTGTATTACAGTAAATAAATTACTAGGAGTGGTTACCTATAATATATCCGGGTATTACAGTAAACTCCATAGTAAAATTATTTCCACACAAATCTTGGTAACTTTTGAAAGGTGTGAAGCTGATGGAATTGTTAAAGCTGTGAAGGAAGAGTTTACCTTATGAAGCTAGATGTAAATAATATTGGAACTATTGGAACAGATAAATGCTAGTGCTGTGGTTGGCATTAATAATAGTGTTTTCAAGAAATTGAAAGTTGATGCACCTTATTTAATATTGATAAACACGGATTTGCCATTCTCTACAGTTAGCAGTGTCCCAGTCTCATTAAAAATCCAAGAAACTTAGAATTTCACATTACTGAAACTTCTAAGTGGGTTTCACTTTCACCAATGCTCCAACTTTCCTACAAAATTTTATAACAGACTATAAATTATGGCAGAAATCCATTAAAGATTCCTAATAATTTTCAAACTAGGTGGCTTTCATAGAACCAGTGGTGGGCAGAATTTTGGATCAATAATTAGAGTTGAGGACATTATGAAATTGTTAAGGTAAATGAAAAAAAATTGCACAATAGAAGTTTTTTATGGAATGTACAGCGATGAAACTGGCTTAATAGTCTTGCACCCAATTTCAGTTAAGATTCATGCAGTGAACAAGCTATTGGATTCAATTACAGCTGCTCAAACGAAACTTTTTTAATGATTTGCTTCTTCTCATCAGATATCAGTTGCCTTAAAATTAACACTGCTAACCTCGAGAGTACATTCCCTTGTATCCAACATAGAGG